TTTTGAGGTCGTAGTTCACATAATGATTGATTGAGGAACCATACACTTCTTACAGATTTCGTTGAAACTTTCCTTGAGTTCTGTTTCGGAACGAAGTAGAATGAATCAGGTTAACCTGGGTTTTGCGTTTGGTGTAACTGACCATCGAGAAAACTGGTTTCAGCACCAAGAATAGCGATTGTGCCCAGTATTGAAATGTGGCAATGTGAGATCTGCGAGGATTGTGTCGAATTCAAAACAAGTGCACATGGTAGTGGAATTCAGCTGTGCTTTCCTGCCTCCGTAACAATCCTGATACTTCGGCAACATACCAATCTCAATTTATCAAAACTCTAGAATTTTTCTAAGGCCAAGATCGTTTGAATTAATTAAAACTTCAGCTTTTTCTACACCTCTCGGTGACGTGAGACAGTCTAACGCAATTTGGTGATTGAAGCACATTGGTAATTGTACGAAAAGGAAGTGCACCAAAATTATGCAAGAAAATTTAACTTTTATATTATTTTTTCAACCAAGCGATAGAGCACTTCAAATTCATCTGAAGCAATTTGCAAGAGGGGAAACCAGGGTTTTTGAACCTTTTTAGCCAAGACAGATAAACGACAACTGCTAAGATATTTGCTAAACTTGGAAATATTTAGCACAGCCTTCATGGAGTTGATATTTGCATGAACGCCTCGGATTGCACAGAAAAAGATATTCCTCTGAAGAACGAAAATTAACCTATTTTTATCGGAACTTGTTTGAATTTACAACTTCACAGAGAACGGTTCCCACCTCTATTTTAATATCTCTTTCACCAGGAAGTCGCAACCCAAGCACCGGGAATGCACCTGCTGTGCCCGTTACCTGGAAAACATTCAGATAACTATAATAGAATCCCTTCCAATCCTCGTATTCATCTGCACGCAACTTCGATGTGTTACAGAAGCCATAACGAAGCGAGAGCTTTTTCAGAAAATCCTGAACCTGTCTAGAATCCACGGATTGGAACCGTCGATGTCAGCCACATCCAGACAGTAGCTATATTCCAAAGTTTTCAATCACGAAGAGATGACCACTTGACGACAACAACGACGAGGATCCCTATGCGGGTGCGTGAGCAAGCATCGACGTCCAGTATATACATCGAATCCTGCAACAATCAGGACAGACCAGCACTGTGTAAAAAACGTAACGCCACATCGAATCATCGACTGGGGTGTGATCGATAAGCGACAGTGATCAGAGGTGCACAGCCACCGAGACCAGATGGGTGGAATCAACAGAGAGGGAGGCTTGAATGTGGTGAGATCAACTTCTTCCAGGGATCGCCACCCTCATTGCTTCGATCCAGCTTATGTTCACTGAAGCATGCATTGGAGTCCATGAAGAATGTGATGATGAATCAGTTTCACGAACCAACTCAGCCTTCAGAGATTCACGACATGCACCATTTTATTTATTTATTTATTTTGTTTGTTCAGGGATGAGTGTCGGTGTCTCGCTTCTCCGAATGCTCACTTAACACTCAGTATTGTTGGATGAGTTTGTTGGTGGATTTGGTTCCACTTTGCCATTTATGAGTAGAAACTGAGTGTCTTGTGAGTTCTGTTTTGATTCTTTTCTTTTTCTTTTCTTTTTCTTCTTACAACAAGTCATTTATTACTGCAAAACATCACGTTATTTGTTTAATTTTGTATATGATTTTTTAAAAATAAACTACTGTTGTTGTGGAAGAGTTTATGATTTGGGAAGAGTTTATGTTAGGATGCGTATTCATTTTTTATGATTTGGGATGTAAATGTGGTTACAAATGGAAATCGACAATGCTTGCACTGAATCCAAATTTGAGAAGTAGCAAATCACTATAATTGCAATCACATTTGGATTTGAAAACATGATTTGAAAAGTGTAGTAATTTTAAGGAATTAATTAATAAAATAAATAAATAAACAGATAATATCCCCAAAGATAGCAGAGTCTGGTAACTATTTTAAACAAGTATTGTAAACTAATCAAAGAAACAAATTGATAGCTGTTGAAGCATTTTTTGAAAGCTAGTTTTGATTAACTGGTATTTAACAAATTATGGAAAATTTGCTCAATTGTAGACAAAACCAAGAAGATTACAATACATCTAGATTTCTAAAATAACTCAGCTATCCAAACACATTGGTGTTCATTTAATTATTTTTTTGGATTTTTTTTATAATTCGTTAAATATTAGATGATTGTATATGTAATTTTTTTTCGCACATTTTATAGATATTTTTTAAAATCCAAAAAATTACAGTTGTTTTTTAAAAAATATATAAACTTGATTAAGAAAATATGATTTCTTAAGTAGGAGGGATTAAACCTTAAAAAGAAAAAAGGTGGATATTATGATTTATGTCTTCTTGATTTTAGCAATGGTTTGAAAGATATAAGCACTTATATCAATATCTACAAAAAATATCTGCAAAATTGCTTTGCAAGACTATAAGATTACAAATCAATTATGCAACAAATGTTTTGTCTAGTGAATTGTATATGTAGTGGATGTTTTGTTCAATGAATGAATTGGGTGTTTTTAGAAAGTGGTTTATATACTTGTGACCTAATTTTATTTGACATACGTGAATACCTCCTAATTAAGTTTAATGTCATGCAATGCTTGCAAGAAGATTATGATTTGTTAATCAAAGATCTTTGAGAGGAATGAAAAGACATTAAGTCTTGTTACATCAATTATCTTTTATTCTAATCAATGCCTATATTCAAGCAACAATTTTACACTAGCTATAAATTCTTCCGTGCGCTTGTCAATCACCTTAAGAGGTATCCAATCTCAACTAACAATAGTCACTCTTTTAAGCAACTCTTGCATATTAGACTATCCTTTGTTTCATGCATCTTGGAAATTATAGTTATGGAGTAGCCTTTCATATTGTCTAAAGAACTTTTAAGATAGAAAAAAATATATGTATATATATATATATATATATATATATATATTTCTTGTACATAGAGTTGTTTGTGACATGACGAAGCAATAAATCCATAGCCAAATACTAAACAAAAAAAGAAACATTTGTAGTGCTAGAAACAGAAGGCTTTTCCAACTGCATTGGTTTTGTGGATGGAACAACTTTGCAGCTTTATCAAAAGCCAATAACTAAAGGATCTTTGTAGTAGTATGTGACTCCAACCAATAAAGCAATGCTTTTTATTTTGATTAGTATGGTTCTACATACAATTCCATTGTATGTAAGAATACTTCTTTGTATAAGCATCCTAAATACTATTTTAACAAAAGATAATACTTGCTAGCCAACTCAATCTATAATCAATCCAATATGGTTTTTTTTTCTTTTAAGTTATTAACTATTCTTTTGCAAGAAAAAATGGAATTTAACTACTATGTGGCGATGGTGAAAGTCAAGAATAAATATGATATCAAGATTGTAAAAGACATGTGGTATTTTCTTCAAGAAGTGAAGAGACTATTGAAAGATGTTAAAGACATGCAAAAGATTATAAAGTAGGTCATGGCTTGCTTAACACTACATAACATACTAATAGATTTGCAAGATTCTTAAATTGAGATGTTCAAAGAGGAGAAAGAAGCCCAATGAACACAACTTACCTCATATCATCATAGTTCTTTCAAAGAGAAACTTAGGCTTAAAACACTCTCTATAAACTATATAAAAAGCTATCTCTCCTTAATTAGTACAAAGGATTTTTGTGACATTAGAATATGTATTTTTTATATTTTTTATTTAAAATATATATATATATATATATATATATCTTTTCTTTTGTTTTTAGTTTTTTTTATAACCTTTTATTTAAGTATGCACAACTCATCACTCAACACACAGATATCAGGGTGTAATGATTCATTTCAGTTTCAAAATACACATTTATATCTCGAAGAGAAGTTTTACTTTTAACTAGTTGATCACTAGTTACTAATATCATACAATATGTTCTTACACCATTCGTTACGTACTATTTTGTAAAGAATTTGGATCTGCTTGTACAAAAAAATAATTCTTTTAACATCAAAAAAAAAACTGGTCATATTGCAGATATATAATTTAATTAATTTATGACGCACAATTGAAGTTTCGAAATAAAAGCTTTTTAACGTAAGGTTGATAATTCAAAACATGTATAACTACAGTAAATAAATAGATAAATACTCCTGTTTTTTATTAAATATGTCTTCATTTGAATAAATCATTAAATGCTTTACTTGTCTTCAAAAACATTTCTTCTCTTGAAGGGAGGGAAAAATAACTACAGAGAAATACAGAATTCACATTTCGGTAAACTGATAACTACAGAGCAACAGTAAGACTGAAGATCCACATTTAATTCTACAAAAGATCTGGGTCGCTCTGTAAATCAAATACAAAACCTAGATTAAACAATACAGAATTACTTGCAAACCAAAAAAATTGGTCCTAAGTATACCTTCATCGACATTGGTACAGTCAATCTTCTTATGTAGTCTTCATACCGAGCCTCATCACTTCACTAAGTACCAGGTTCAGGATCAAGTACTTTGAAATTTCTAAATAGAACATCGTTTTCTAATAATTTCAGTAGGCAAAACCTGCACCATATTCCGACACTAAAGCCTAGGCAACGCCCCAAATCTGTTGGGGACATTGCCAACGTTGGACTGGAATTGGGAAGAGAGTCCTCGGAAGTTGAATGCATACGACTCGGATTTAACATCCTTGAACTGCATTCGCCCACTAAATCCTCTACAACACGCACAGAATTAAGACAAGAAGACTTCTAGATTAATGCTTGTTTGGCAAGCACGTTAGAGAGCCAGAGCAGCTAACTCTAAAGAAAGCAAGAGGTGCGGGAAGGGTTCAATTTTGGAGTCAGGTCACCTGTCAGAGGATACAACGTGAAGAATTATGGCGAAGCAACTCGACCGAGGGGGTCCAGCAATTCAACACACGACATCGAAGATACCCAACTTCAGCAGCTAGGATAGAGTTGGTGTACGATAATTGACAGCGAGGTAACTAAATGTAATAAATCAAAACATAAACAGAGACGCGTTTAAATTTCGACCTCCCATGCATAAAAGGGAGTACAGTCAAACCCAAGTTCTGTAAACGATGCCACAATAAAATTGCGCCCCCACAGGACACATCATGGTAACTCTTTCTTTCAGCGACAGAAACAAGCACAAGTGCATAGCAACATGTCCAGTAACTATAAATAACGGGCTACTAAGGCTCCAACTCACTGCGAGACACCCAACCATTTGGTGAAGTTCTCGAACTCTGTGTACTCGGAGTCCGATACCATGGTCTTGTACCACGAAGCGCCCTGCTTCTTGATCAATTCCTTCTCCTCCGGCTGCGCAAATTAAAATTACAGTAAGAGAAGCACAGAAACCCTAAAATGAACATTGCGCACAAGAGATTTGTTTCACTTTATACCGCACTGAAAAGTGCCAGTACAGAGTTGGACTTAATTCACAAAAGAGACATGTAGACAACAGCAAGTACCTTGAGCTGGGATCTCTTGCTCTGAAGCTTTTCAGCCTTGGCCTTGGCCTGCCTCTCCTGAGCCAAAAGCTCCATTCTCCTGGCAGTCTTGGCATACGGGTTGAGCTTGAGAAGTGCACCCAAGTTCTTCAATGGGTTCTTCTTCAGTGCACGTCTCTTCAGATCCACCTTGGCCGGACGGACGATGCTCTGGATCTCATCAGAGTTGATGATTCTCGACAAGTCAGGGTTGCCCATGATGTTGCGGGGGAGGATGTAATTCTTCTTCACAAGAGACTTCTTTTCCTGGGTGCCGAAAACTGAGTCGAGCTTCTCAAAGGCAGACTTGGTCCAGATAATAAATCGGCCAAGGTGACCACCTACGCCAATTAACAGAGAGTTACTAAAGGATCTAAAGCAATTCCGAAACCCTAAAAATTGATCTGATTGCATATAGGTATCTCGACTATCACAGACAACCTCCAAATAGTACCAACCATGTAGGATTTCATATGTAACAGTACCACATTGGCTTCTGGTATAATTGAATTAGGTTGCTAACATCGGTGACATCGAATGACCTTTTGAGTATCAGGTCAAACGGTACAAAAAAAACCCCTAAACCCTGAAACCCACATTCTCGTTAACATAGATAACTGCATTTAGGACACCAGAATGAAGTCCTCCATACCTGGGGCGAGCTGAAGAAGGTTCAAACGATCCACAGAAACGATTTCGACACCGGGGATGTTCCTGAAGGCTTTCACGAGCTTGGCACCCTCGGTACCATAGACGACGAGGGGTCCGCGGCGCGAAACGTACCTCCTGTTCCTCATTTTACCCTTGCCAGCCCTAATGCTGTGACTAGCCTTTACCTTCTCCACATCAGCGTAAGCTCCCATAAGCTTCAACAGCTTCACAGCTGCGGAAGTCTTCTCGATGTGCTCAGCCCCGTCAGCAAGGACCAAGGGCACCTCGGGGACCTGCTCGATCTTGTGACCCCTAGCCAACACCAACGAAGGAACAGCGGAGGCAGCCAAGGCGGAGGCAATGGCGTACCTCTTCTGGTTTAGGTTAACCTTCCTGTGCCACCGGCGCCAAATCTTCGTGGGCGCGAACATGCGCCCACCACGGCACATGTTTCCGAAAGCTCCCTGTCCGGCGCGGTGAGTACCACCACCGGGAACCCTAGGGATACGAGACACGGCACGTCCCGTTCCCCATGACTCCGCAGAGGTTTGGTGTCCAGCCTTGACGCTCACGGCGTAGGGCTGCCTCTTGTTCTTAGCGAGGGCAGTGTGCACAGTGGCGACCACATCGGGGCGGATGGGGGCCAGAAAAACGGCGGGCAGAGAGGCCTGAGCACCCTTCTCGCCTCCGTCGATACTCTGCACGGTGACCAGGGGGCGAGCTGCTGCTGTAGATGCCATCGCGTTGTATCGATACGAGCTCCGAGCCCGCGTCGCTAACCTGCTGGGGTAAAGGACCTGGCTGCAACCACGAAAGGTGCACTGGGAAAAGAGCTTCCTTTTCGACGAGCTCCCCTCTTGCAACCTCGCGCACAGCCAGCCCCGCTCGGAGCAGCAGCATTAGGGTTTCGCCCCCTCGCCCTATCCCCGCCGTCCATCCCCTCATCGGATCCCCTCACTCCGTTCCCCCGTTCCCCCGTTCCCCCGTTCCCTCATTCCATATCCGTTCTCCTCCCTTACGCACAGAGCTCCCATGGTTCCCGATGCAATTGTGGTGGGTCCTCGCGTCTTTTGTTGTTTTGTTTGTCTCCGAATGAAACCCTAAAAGCCTCTCCTTGTTTGATTATCGCATCCAAACCAGGGTATTTTATTTCATGCATTTTGTTTCCCCCTTTCGTAGGTTGATTCTTTCGTTCCCTAGGAATTGACCTAATCAAGGATTTTAGAGAACGTATTTTTGGGTGCATCACAAATTGAATGAATTGTTTCACAACAGGATTTTAGAAGTTGAGGAATGTAAGTAATTTTCAAGATCAAAATAGTGTAAAATAAAATTTATGATAAAATTCACTCCTTTTAATAATTAATATTATTAACCATTACATATTTTTAACAAAATTAGATAGTCACTAAATGCCCACCCCTTTTATTTCTTCTTTTTCTTCTTTTTATTTATTTATTTATTTATTTTTAAACTAGGGTCCACCTCAGTGCCAAGATCCTCCCAATGTCTACATAGCTGCTTCCAAAAATCAATACACACTTTCTAAATAGATTACATATGAATTAAAAGACATATATTAAAATCATCATAATAACATTAATAATCAAGTATTGCAAAAACATGGATAGACAAATATTTTTGATTTTATTGTTTTGACTAAATTTGATTTGATTTGATTGTTTTTGACTAAATTAAACTAAAGCAAAACAAACAAATAACTTTGATGTTTATATTTTTGTACAAATGTAATAAAATAAAACCACAATATGTAATATTATATATATATATATATATATATATCTAGTTTCAAGTATTAATATGTTTCTCCACTACTCAAATACCCACACACAACCTAATGACAAACAATTAGATGGAATAGAACAAATAAACATATGTTTTGTAAATGAAGACTACACCATACAATAATATGATTTAGATGTTTATTCCAAAATTCAAATAATATCAAATCTTGTTACATAAAAATAAAATAAAAACTTCTAGAGCAACACACAATTCTCTTGACATGACTACTACCTAATCCTACATGCATCCAAATATTCCCAATGGTCCTCAATTGTTGGTTCATTATTTTCCTTTCATTGGAACAAATTGTTACCTGGGCTTTATATATCAGAGTGCTTTGGAAAAATTGTTTGACTATACTCGTGCTTGTTTAAATTATGGATCCAACCAATCTAATATTCTTGGTTATAATCAATAGGTCTGTAGTACTTGATTGTTTTTAATATTCTGATTCAACAAAGAATCATACACTAACAATTGTGATAGTTCCATCAAAACACTTACACTGTAAATTATATGGAAGTAACATGAAGAAAACATTGTACTCCAAACGGATTAGTAACTAAAACGCTTCAAACATATTGTCACAATTATGTCATGGACAATTCAATCCATACGCAGTGGAAAACTCTTTGAATTGAATTTGTTGAGATGACGACTGTAAAGAAAACAAAATTTCAATGTCACCAATGCGTACAAGTCAAAACTGAAGATGAGTTAATGTTTGAAAAAAAGGATTATAACACATTTAACTAACAATTTTCTATCAACACAAATAAAATTAAAATAACAATAGATTTGCATTCAGAAAACGATTGTTCTACAGGATTATCTACAAATCTTCAATTAGTACTTTAGAAAAGCGTGATTAACAGTGTAAGAATCAAATGGCCTTAGTAAATGAATGTTAATTTGACCTGGTTAAGTTCTTAATGCACATAAATCAGAAAATCTATGTGAACTCTGGTATTGAAAAAAATCCTATGCTAACACACATTCAATACGTTCTATTAATTATGCTGAAAAGTTTTTACAGATAAGGTGGTGAGTTCAGATGTATTAGCAGTATTCAACTTCTGTTTTGGCAATATGTTTTTCATACCCTCCTCCACGGTGGCATTGACCTCATTAGCACATCAAGGATGTTAACGTTGCTTGTCAAAACGACAAATTTTCAGACCCTGCTGCTACACCGTAACATGAAATAATCTTGTTTGATTTGTAGTATCTGAACCACATTGTTCAGTGACCTCGCATCGCATTTGTGGGAGTCTTCCACATCCTAGAAGATTGTTTCCAACCTCACCCAGAAATATTGTTTTAGCGGAGCAAAACATTAGGAGTCAGTAGCTTTTCAGTTGCTTTGTAAGTATTAAGACCTCGTGAGAAACGTCTGGACTTGAGTGACAACAATATCAGGAACAACTGCTAAATATGTCAAGGAAATTATAAAACTAGCAACTCAAACGAATGCTCTTCTTTGTTCCCACAAAAATCCCGCAAATGACAAATTCTAACGGGCGCAGAAAAACCGTAACCAACTTACTGCACCAATTGCGAACTATCAAACGGAAGCACAACCTCCACAATATACCGGTAGGATACCCTCATCATGAGTTAACCCAACTACCTCACTACACTAAAATACCAAAGCATGATCGAAACACTATTCAAGACAAGGGGAACTTCTTTGGAATGTACTGGTTGCACACCAACAATACCAAGAAGTGTTGCTTCATTCACTAAATTACACGCTAATGTTCTCAACAGCAGGCGCCTTCTTGTCGATCCTCTTAACTATTCCAGCAATCACCTGCAAGATCAGTATCAAGAAGCAAATGTCAGACGTGAGCGTCTAGAAAAAGTGCTGGATTTAAAAGAATCAGAATGTCATTTGTGGTAGTTAACTGCTAGCCACCCCATAACTTCAACAGAATCTTACTGAGCTTAAAAAGCACAAGCGGATATCTGAAAAAAGTAAACCGTCAAGTAAACCAAGGATCAAGAGGAAAGTTCCAGGTCAAACTATTCACAGTGAGAAAAGAGCAGACGCCCATACCTTGCCAGGGCCGAGCTCGTAGCTATTCTGCAGTCCCTTTCCGAGCAAAGTCTTAAGAGTAGTCTCCCATTGAACAGGAGACGTAACCTGCATTTTAGCACAAACTATCAAAATCTATCTTGGACGAGGGAATAACAAGCTCATGCTAATAAACAAGACACAACGTGGAACAAAAGAAGAAATTGGTCCACTCCGGAACATAATTCAACACAACGCTTGTACAACTTTCCGGAACCTTCTCACACTACAACTCAACAGCCAACAGAATATTACTTCTGCGAGACACGGCCCCTGTGTAGCAGTTGCCATCCATTATGAACACAGCAGATTTCCAAACAACAATATACCTGCTGGGCGAGAATCCTTTTGATAGTGGCAGGGTCGGAGTGAGGTGCAGCATCGACATTGGAAATAACTGGAATCCTTGGAGTTCTGATTTCAGTATCAGCGAGGGCAGCTTCAAGCTTCTGAACTGCTGGACTCATGAACCGCGTGTGGAATGCGCCAGCAACTGCAAGTCGTACCTACAGACACAAAATATAAATTGGTGTGATCTCATTATGATAGGCGATTAAGACATCTTTACTCTTCTATTATGTGATGTAGGTGAAAGAGATAGCCAAACGAATACGTCACGGTGACCTACGAAGTTAACGAGACTCACAGTCATACGAGCTTTGAAACTCTTAGCCTTGGCTTCAAGTGCTTCCACACCCTTCACACCACCAGACACTGCATAATTGCCCTGCAGATTCAGCAATATTCGTTAAGCCAGAGGCCAAAATTACTTATATTAAGAGACCAGACAAATCACTCACTCGCAGGGTAATTTTCAAACATGTCCAGAACAGCTTGTGTACGATTCTAGTTTAGAGCACCTAACAGAAACTGAGCATGGAGACGCTATAAAGCCCACAAAAACAACTAAATAGCCACTCTAAAAGGATTGATGTTTCGTTTAAATACCGGGCATAGGAAGTTAGCAATTTGGACTCTTTCATCCTCGCTAACGTCTTCATTGGCAGACTCACAAAGAGCAGCCACTTTCTCTGCGTCCAACCCAATAACGCTGACCATCGCACTTGGGGTCGCATCTGCAGCAGCCTGCAATACCGGAAAGTTTCAGAACCCAGTAAACAGAATCTCCCAATGTGTCAAGAAAGTCCTCACAATGCAATCATCCACTTCTATCCAGCGAATAACAAAGATATAAGATGTTACGGAGCCTAACTAGGGGGTATACAAATGAAGGGCTAAGTAGTGACCTGCATAGCTTCACCCCTGAGCTTCACAAGCTTCAAGCCATCTTCGAAACTGCAACAATCAAAGCCTAAATTATTTACCAAGAGAACAAGAATGTGATGGATTCTATTTCCTTCGACGAATTAATGAATTCTGTTATATGTCGAATAGTTCCACATACGGTTTTAAAGGATGATGCGAAAATTACAGCGAGAATCGGAAGCAAATAGACTGATGACAGCAAATGTGGCAGTAGTTGACATGACAGATACTTTACCTGAAAGCATTAGCAAAAGCCAAAGCAGTGTACTCCCCAAGACTAAGACCACAGGTCACGTCCACAGAGTCGATAATAGCTTGACCGTTCTCTCTGGCTCTCAAAGCCTCAACCGCTGCCAAACTCGCGACGTAGATTGCTGGCTGCTCTCCAAATACCAATATTCAAGAATTAGTCACACTAAAGAGATATTCAAGTAAGAGACACGCAGATGGTTTCATTCAAATCACTGGTTTCGCTCTGAAAGATCTGCACTCATTCTCGACTGCTGCACAAATTAACAACTTATAAAGTCTCAAGAGATCGACCAAAACAATCTGGTTTTAAGTCATTTCCACATGACAGTAATAACAAAAACATGGCTCGCGAGTCCATCATCATTATCCGCGTACTAGACTCAAGACACCGAGATGTAAGTTACATATCCAAAAAGTTGGCATATTGACTACCTGGCTAACCACAGTAGAGTCTAGCTTCTCCTTCGGCCCATTGATAGAGATGTCCAACAAGTCATACCTGTTGCAGTGCCCAGCAAATCGTTTACTACGCAAAGAAAAGCAATTCGCGGGTACCAGCATTGACTTGGAGCAATCCAATTTCCTACGAATCTTCTGTAATTGCTACTAATATTTCAGTGCCATGGTTTCGCATTTAAACATATGCCGACATAAAAAAATGAAAAAAATTATCACTACCAACATTCGGCACCAATTGAGAGCCATACCCGAGAATCTCATTAGCTTTAGAATAGAGGGCAGCCGCAGCCGGGATCGTGTGCACCTCTGATCCCATTCCCACCGCTTGAGCACCCTGCATCGAACACAAATAAAACCAAAATCCTTCACAACTTACCAATCCTTCAGAAGAAAACCTCTTCCCAAATGCCACTCACTCACTCAATCAAACAAACCTCCCTGATAACACCAAAACCCAAAACCCATGACACCCGAAACGTCCCAAAGCACCTGACCGGGGAAGAGAAACGCAGTGGAGACTTTGTAATCCGCGAAGGCGCCATCGTTCGTGGTAACCTCGGCGCCAACGCTCACACTCATAGACACAAACCCTCGTCTTCTAGAGGCTGCAGACTGCGCCGGCAGCTTCCCAACAAGCTTGCTGGGCAGAGACGACAATGCCGAGGACGAAGACAGCATGCGTGTCGGCTTGGCGACTGCCAATGAGATGTCCGTCGTCACTCTCCCTGCCAATGCTGCTGCAGCTCCTCCTGCGCATCCCGCTACCGTCATCGCCATTGTCGCCCCCCACAAAAAACACGCCTCAAATTGCAACAACGATCCCGACAATGCGATGCAGAGCAATCGGTCGACTCGCTACCCCAGTTCCGAAGAATTGCTTGCTGGATGTAGAGAGAGTAGTTAGACGTCTATCCGGAGGGTCGGAATCGCTCTTCGGATTTCTGGGTCTCGAGGGCTGTGGACGACGGAGATTCCGAGGCCGAGCCTCCCAGATTTTTGAATATGCTCATTGGACACACCTGCGCACCGGCTTCTACCGGCTGCGTCGCATTCGAGACCTGCGAGTCAGGTTAAAGTGATGAGGGGCGACCGGCGAATCCAGGTGACCTACCGCCCACTCCTCATCCCACTTCCTTTTGGGTCCACCGCCACGTGTCCGTCGTTTCGCCATTCCCGAGGCGTGGATTAGTTTTCGTATTGGTCTTGGTTCTGGACTCTTTTTTTTTTGTGTGGAGGAGGGGCTAGAGATTCAGATGAGATTAGTGGCGCTGTTGTTTGTTAACTTGTATGTAGAAGACTTGGCTGATAATAAAAAATAATTATTCTGTGTGATTAACATGGATGCCACATATAGCATCATTTAATTGAAGTGTCAGTAAAACATGCTAATGACTTGCCACCGTTGTGCCATTAGTGATTACAACTGAAAATCTAGATCACATTTGCAGTCAACTATTTTTGCAGCACTATATTATGTACTAATTGAAAATCATCAGAAACATTGCCTGCAAGGTTCCCATTCCTAATAAAAATCGGTGTACATATTGGGCCTTAAATTGTACATGGAATGAACTATTTCCGTAGAACTGCACCTGTAGAAACATGACCATGAAGTCTACAGTCGGAGGTTTGAAACAGCTGTGATCAGTGATCTTATGCGTCACAACTGCAAACCTCATAGAAGAATGTTCAAACTGAGTTTAAACAAAACAAAATTTCTGCTCTTACCTCGACCAGACCTCCATTCTGCAATGGTGGCTAGAGATGTACGAAACAGACCACGCTACACTGTGTCCCTACTGCACCATTGACGTCACGACTGGTTTGATGAGTAAACCAATACTCATCATAGGCAAAGCCGTGGTGGTGAAACCAAGATCATGAAATAACTGTACAAAAAGCAGTGCCTGTGAATGTGATAGAATGCACTAACATGTTTCTCATGATTTTGTGAACGGATCACCAATTCACACACGAGGATTCAACACCTTGAGAAACGCAACCGGTGGTTCTCGGATTCCAGTTCTCGCACACGGAGCAGTGCTACCTGATGCACAAAGAAAATAAGAATTAGAAAAATAGTTACGAAACGACTGGATGAATTTAACTTCTCAAGAAACTACAGTCCAGAGAAAGCATGCTCTACTCAAATGCAGGGAATATCATGATATCAACCAACCTTAAGTTTCTTCCTCATCTCTTCATCTTCATGTTCTCGAAGCTGTCGCTCCTCTTCCAATGCAACATGCAGGCTGTCCCGTTCTCGAATACATTTCTCTAAATTGCGCCTGTAAACTGCCTGTTGTTGCTCTAAATCCAGAAGCTGCTTTAGCCACAAGATCAATATTAGCTATCCCATGTTCAGATTTCATCAGTCTTGTCTTAAAACAAAGTAAAATAATACTCTCCACGGGTGTAAACTTCGGAACTCAGAACTAAAATATCTAAATTGCAGAAACATAGATGCGTGAACCACGCATCCTTAACACCCACATTTAAACAACAGCCGACAACTGAGACAAGTGTTGCACTCTTCACAGAATCACTGAATCACATACATCCCACAATAATTTCTCTTCAAAACTTTTCGTCCACATGCATGTGTAATTATTGTGCATTATCGACACGAAATTAACGATAGACAGAACAAGATAACTTACCTGAGCTTCTAGTTTGCGATTTCGATCAATTTCAAACCAAAGACTCTGATCACTTGCCTCCTCCAGCCTCCGGCATCTAAAGTAAAAAAGATTTTAAAAAAAATTAATTTAAAAACAGAAAAGGCAAATATGTTGTTAAAATAATTTATATCTAAGTTGCAAATTAGATTCACAAAGTGGACAACCACCTTACAAATCTGAAAAATGCAAAATTGAAGAGAATCAAAACAATTTCAGAACTCCCGTCAGTGACCATGATTGTAATCTAATAACAGTCTTTGGACATGCGAATGCAGTCAACTGCACAGCTAAATATAGAAAAACTTGTTGAAAGACAACAACCTTTCTCGAATTTGGTCATTTTCATCTTTGAGTTGTTTCAATATTTCAACTTCCACTGCTGCCTTGTGCCCATTAGAAGTGACTGGACGCTGCTGCCCTTGTGGAGGATGGGGAGCCTCTGCAACAGCAGCCCTTCTTACAAACTGGAAAACCGATCAGGAATAAGATTCAAAATATCAAAAGCAGTTAAATAACACGATCTAACGCTGTACACTGAAACATAATGCCATAGGCTAGACAAGGTGCAGACCAATTTTAGAAGATCAAGGTCAACTGGAAAGTAAAATTAAGTGCAACCATGATTCTGACAGCGACATATCCATAACCTTCACGTAACAAGAAATGACAATTCAGGTGTAGAACTGAACAAATAAGAACAAGGAAAATACCATTCTTCCAAGATCTTCCAATGATTTCCGACTATCTTTTGGAACAGACTCGTTAACCTGCAGCATCATAGGAGATGTAGGTTAGCAAGAAACAACACAATGACCAATCACGAAGGGACGTGATATGCAATGAACACTCATGAAGAAAGTGTCTTGCTTTTACCCTAAAGCTTGCAATATAGCTTCATATACATCGAATGAAAAAAAAAAGCGAAGGTTCAGGAAGCACCTTAGCCACAGAGTTTCCATTAGTAAGCGACCCGCTTCTAGATATTGCAGAAGCAGGTTCAATTTCAAGCCGTTGCCTTCCTGATGTACTCTCTCCATAAGTTCGCAAAACCCCTCCACCTCTCCGACCTTCACTTAATGAGTTAGATGGCAAAGAGAGGCGCAAGTCAGCATGGGGGTCTGAAATTGGAGATGACATGGTCGAACCTTGCCCCCTAATCACAACACATTCTGCACATCAAGAACGTTAGGTGAATCAGAAAAATAGGGCCAGACACTACGAAAATTACATAACCATGTGGAAGCACATATACGCAAAGTCTCATACCAACCAACCAGAGCTGTAAATCGAACGCTCAATCAGAAGCAGAATTCATGAACCCAACACCGCAGAATCAATCTTCGTAACGCTCGGTGGCATGATATGCGTCAAAACTTACAATCGCTCATAACTACACAAAAAAAATTTGAAAATTCATCGTACCTCCGGATAGAGAGATGGGTGGAATACTCTTCTTCTTACTCCTTTTGCTTACGTAACCCACTTTATGACAATTATTTGCCCTGGAGAGGTGCTTGTCACCAAGTATTAGAAGTATACACACAGCATACACTCTTTAGAAAAGAATCAGTACATTAACTATATGGATGATGTGCAGAGCTTAAGGATAAGAAAACTGACCAATAGTTCTTCTGCATTTGCAACAAGCGTGACTCTAAGCGTGACAGAACTGTTGTGCGCTCAAAGCCTTGCTTGTCATGAGCAGGTTCAACAAAGTTGGCCTCAAGCACTCCTGCAAAAAAAAAAAAAAAAAAAAAAAAAAAAAAAAAAAAAAAAAAAAAAAAAAAAAAACCAGTCCCAAGTCAAAATGAAATAAACACTAGCTCCAAGGTGGCACTGTCCGTAGCACCAGCTTGTTGTAATTAAATGAGCAAGAAATCTCATACGTGAAGACCTACTGGAGAAACTTCCAAGAAAATATTTGCATGTTGGGTTAAGTCGATCTGTGGACGGGAAAAATTGAACTCTATTAACCGTCACATTGCTCTGAGCTCCTGCGTTTACTACTAAACATTTTACGGAAGTCTCAAGCTACTCTGAACCATTTTCTGTTGAATCTCGAGACAAAACATAACGTTCATAGTAATACTCCGACAAATATAACAAACAGTCCTGCAAGCAAAACATTAACTCACCTATTATGCCTCGCCCATCGCTACCAGTGCAATTCCAAATTTTCCAAAATGGCTGCAAAAAAAAAACATGTGACGTTAACGTCCATCCAGCACATGCTGCATCAACTCATTTAGGCATGACATAACATGCAAAATAAGAAATATCCTACGCAACAGAATGCAATGAGATAACTTCCAAGCAAAAAATTGGAGATATGTCCTCTGGAGTATTAAATACAGTCTTACATGTGGAATTGTACAGCAGTGAATTACCTTAATCAGTCGGTTTTTGTGGTACACATTGAAACCTTGTATGTTAACATGATCCTTAGCATCCTTTACAAACCCAATAGTCACAACTGCCACCATCTAAAGGATCACAATGTGTACAGAGTATATCAATTCACTTAAACGTTGTACAATGATTCACACTTCTACATTGAAACTACAGTAAACTCAACAGCTACGCGCTAGCAGACATGGTAGGCACTGAAATAGACTGGATATGCGAGTAATGAAAACAAGTAGCCCCTCACATCAGCTTCTTTTGTAACATGCTCAGCCCCACTTTGTGGCCTATATGTGAGTTCTTGAGTGAACATTAAATCGTCAGTAAGATTGTGATGTTGAACTTCCTGTCCCCGGAGGATGATTTTAAAGCCAGGAGGCATCTTCAAGTACAAAATCGAGACATAACTCTGCCATACAACCATTCCAGCGAAACAAATATAATTTGTAAGCTTCCATACTAAGAAAATTCAATAAGTCAAAAAGAAGGTTTACTCTGTTACTTATTCTTAAATATAGTGAGCATTTGCTTGAATGAAGTGTAAGTAGAATAGCAAAAAAAAAAATATGAATGAAGATAGTTACGATAAACAGAAAGTGTGAGCTACCCGCAAAGAGTGACGATAAGTGAGGAAATGTCTAGAGTTCGGAAACCGCTGAACCATTTGAATTTTCTTCTCATCACGATTCGCTCCCCTGATTTGAATATCCTAGAAATTCCAACACAGTCGGTTACCTCGAACCTGCAACTACGCTCAGAAAAGTAGCAGAAAGGCCACGAAATGACGTGCGCACCTGACTTTTGACATATTTTTCTGCAATTTCTGATACCGTTGAATAACAAGGATATTCGTAAAGACAAGATAAGGAGACTGGTTACTCACAGAAGGATCTGTGTCGAAGTCTAGCTCGAGTTGACCCTGGTCATCCTCCCACAGATTGTACAAGACGATTTTTGTACCATGGTCTTTCATTCCTGTAAACTGCAAAAGCAATATAACTTAGATAAGTGCTTTTCTCACTACAAGATCCTCTTCATTTTGGAGTTTCCATCCTGTTGCAAAGGGTGTGATGAAACATAAAAATTGACGACACCGATGCGAGCATTGCAGCAACGGCCTCTGATTTCATGAGATTTACGTGAATAACGTGTCTTCTTACAATTGAGGAACCCACGTCTGCATCATATATTCTAGACATATAAAAATCTTTAATTTCACTGAATAAATTCAAGCATACACAGGAAATGTGTCAAGATTGTAACAAACAAACCTGGTCAAATAACTCTTCCTCACTACCGTAAGGAGACCAAGTCTGAATTGTTTCTAAGTTGTGAGTCCAATCGTTCAAAGTTGTCCTCAACATTTTCCACACCTCGCCATCTCCAATTTCATAATCAATCTGCACAAGGTAAGGACCTTTCCTCAGAAGCTGTAACGTATAAAAAATCAGACCAGGATTAATTAAGTGCCAGACCCCAAAACTTATGAATGTTTGTCGTAAGACAAGTAAGATAATCAATGGACATCTACTTCGTATGAAAACGTAAGTCTAAGAATAATGACAACTTTACATTCTACTTCTCTATGAAAGAACCTGATATCCTCCAATTGAGTGACTCCAGTATAAATCCCAAAAGCTGACATATCTTCTCAAGTAACGTCAAGTTTCAACCATACTTCTGAAAAAGATGATCAAAGGTGCGCAAACTGTCAGCAACACTACTCACCATTGGAACAACTATGTCGTCATGTCCAGTTTGTCTCAAAAAGGTAAAAGAGAGCATACCAATACTCTGCGTAGCTCTGTAAAGCAACATGTGTCGGATTGAGACTAGGTCCTATTGTGCATTGTCATGAGAAAGCTTCTGATCTAACACGATGATTCACAAAATCCATCAAAAGAATGATGCACAAACAGGAAAAAATGTGCTAAAAAAAGTTCGCAAGGCATGAATTCGTAAAAGCTCTCAATGGCCCGAAGTGGAGACTTACCTGTGCCCATTAGATGCACGAGATCGAGAAAAGACAATAACATCAGCAGCAAGGCGCATGGTGCTAGTCTTAAAACCATTTCCATCTACAAATTTGAGAGAATAAGATCATGTCAAATCCAAGGCATTGGTCAGAGAGCAAAGACTAATCCACAAAGAATTCACAGTAGCAGGTCGGCTTGAAACACAGTGCAGAACATAAGAAGTCGTAAACGTGCAGCTTCAGTTGGCAGCCAAAAACCATGTCCGTTGTAGTCATTGAAATTTTTCAATACACATAACCTAAAATTTGACATAAATGTATGTTCATGGAGGGAAGAAGAAACGGTTGAGAAGGCAGCAGTACATACATTGACCGATCGTGTTGGCACCTTTGCTCTTAGCAGAGTATCCAAGGGACATGCATTGACGCATGCGATCAGGAGTCATCCCGCCGCCATCATCTATAGCCGAATGTTACAGGAAAATAGATGGGTCAGTAAGAGAGGTATGAAAATAGGAAAGACTTTTCTAATAAATACTACTCACCTGGAAGCAAGTGTAGATTTAACCAGACGACATGCTAACCAGGACAAATGTAATTCATGTGTAAGCATTCTCAGCCAAGATTGACAAAAACTACAATGTAACTCATAAAAATATCGCCCCAGTTCATAAAATTGAGCGTCAGCAGAAAGTACTTGCCTTCAATGACGAGCATTGGGGAACGATTTCTAGGATGTAAAGACACATCAACATTAACAAACGATGCGCCATTCAACACCTGGAAATTGGATAAAATTAACCACTGGATGTAAGCAAAGTTTCTGATAAACTTCTCGTCTCAGTAGAAGTAATAAGCAACACGTAACACGCTACACGCCACTACACACCCAAACTCCAAGCCTAATATATCAATGAATATTACAAATGGAAAGAGGGCCAAATTTCATTGATCATCAACTCTCTAGGAACTCCAACCATCATATTTTTGCTGGGAGACAAATCTTACCTCGTCCACAGCGTTGTCCACTAGTTCAGCAACAGCTGCAAAAACATATTCATTGATTATTAGATGTCATCTTAAAGAAAAGAGGCACCTAGAATAATCCTGTGCTGTGACACTTTTTTAAGGCTGGAAAATCGTGGATAAGAGCACATGTCTCATTGAAACATTATGTTTGAAAAAAGGAGCTAACCTCCATTTTCGCAGAAACTTCGTGTAATAACATTTGTAACTTATGTATGTAAATGCATAGCAATTCCAACCGAAAGCGAACTGAAAGAGGTGATAATCATTGTCCACACGACTAACAATTTCACGTCTCCGATGTCAGTAGGTTCAAAGTAAAGTAGTACATATCTCCAAAACAAACTGGACCTCTCTTTTTAACAAACAAACAAATAAAGAAAAAAACGAAGTGAATGACGCGAGTGTATTGTACCTCCAAGAGCCCATCTATGGCTTGTTGCATTGGAGTGTAGAAACTTCGGATGGACTCTAACGTGATCAATTGCACCTGATTGAAAAAAGAGCGAACATTTCAGACGACGTTGCTTATTTTAACTTCTGAGCGTTATTAAATGTTTATTTTTTTCTACAGCACAATGCTGTCTTCATGACACGTGGTGAAACAATAAATGACGGCATAATCTGCATTGAATTGCACGCGTCTAAATCGTCACTTGACAGAAACGGTGTCATGAGGGAAACTGTCCGCACTAAATCTCCCTTCCATGCCATTTGAGTCTGGATTTTCGAAAATGGCAAATCTAACTTCTCAAAAGGCTTGAAAATGAGAAAATAGTAATACACACAATAAAGAATCTCTTCAAAGACCTCTAATATACTGTTATAAAGTGAGGGTACTTGGCGAACAGGTATTACATGCATGAAAAAAAATTATAGGATCTAAACATTCTGAATTTTCAATAAAAACAGATGTCATGATCTTATATCACCAAGCCAAGTGTCTTCAGAAAATTAATTAATTAATTGAAAATAAAAATAAAAAAACGCAGCACAAATCTTCAAAGACATTACTTTTCACCTGCTTTTTGCGTGACAACGGCATGTTGCCCTTCATAGTCTCCAGCTTTCCAGAACTGTTTGCAGGAGGTTCGAGACTCGGGCGTCTTCCGCGCAGACTCATCGAGAGAGGGTTGAGGGAAAAAAGGTAAAGCAACCGGTGAAACAATCTTCGATTCTTGACCAAGGTCTGAATCTCCATGCGCATGATTCTTCAAATCCTCATATCTCCACGCATTCAATCGTAGATCATCCACAGGCTCTACTTTCTGCTTCTTCTGCACAAAGCCTTCACTCCAAGGGTTTTCCTGTGGACTGGCTCTCTTACCCAGTTCGTCTCCGTCTCTGGGTTCATCGCTGTTGGTACTGCTGGAGCTGAGTTCGTATACATCGTCCGCCCCCTCTTCCCTCTTTACTGTCCCCAGTGCAGACATTGCTGCACCTTCTGTCCGTACAGTCAGTGTATGGGGCTAAAGAGGAACCCGAACATTGCTCACTATAGCAAAAAATATGTGACTCTGACTTTGCCCTACCAAGACTTAGCAAATACCTTTGTTACGTCAAGTTGTAAATGTTATATTTAGTATACTGCGTATGGTTGAATAATTGGCCTTTATATAGAAAAATAGACCATGGCGGTATACAATTCTGCTCTCGAAGTTAGGCTGCTCGGTGCGAGAATGATAATATTGCAATAACAAAAATAGTTGATCTCGAAGTCTAAATGCATTGCCGCAACACTGACCACCACTTGCAGTCAATTTTCTTCTCAATGACAAGGCATAGAGGCTTCAAACAAAGAGTATTTGAACGAAAAACGCGTCTAACTCTACTTTCGACGGGCTGCAATTAACCTCTCCAATAAATCCCTCTTGCTTTCTACTCGTTTCATCTCGCTACTTATCGGAGCAAGCCAGTTATGTCGACAATCTCAGATTACCGATCACAGGATGAGCTGCGCCAATAAAGTCCTTGGGCACCTCTCGGAAACCTACCGTGGTCGAGATGACTTCTATGTAGTGTACACGTAGAGTGGCTTGTAACCGCGAAAATATCACCTTACCAATTCCTGGTAGAAGTCTCAAAACCCTGACATAGAAAGTGGTGAAGAATTATAGCTTCCCAACGCACCCGGAACTCCACAAGGAGCATTCCTGCATTGCGAGTTTCAAAAAGTACCTAGGGTCCCCTAAGTGCTCACAGCAGGCACGCTGAAACAGCAACCTACCAAATAGAAACTTCTTCTTCGCAGGGCATTAGAACCGGTAAGCCAAAAAGACGCAACGGTCAACGCAAATCAGCGCAGACTTTCAACTGCGATTTCCGCACAGAACAACGTAACGTGAAGCACGAAAAGGGCCTCCCCAAGGCTAATCCCTGCCGCCACCTGCCCCTGAAATTCCAAGCACCTTGTGATGCTCATAATAAAAAACAAACAAACTACCAAACCTAGAAGCCGGCCTTCACGACGAAATCTTAGCCTCCACCTAGTCACTCACAAACCATGTGCACATCCTGTCCTCTTTCATTCCCCCTCGCCTTATCGAGGACCTCTTCTCCAACCCAAATACTATCCGCAGGCCACATTTTCACGGTAAGGAAGCACGTCCAAGCTCAAGACCTCCCCACTTCGACCGCAAAACCGGAACAAAACCCCTACCAACCACGCCACGCAACCAGGCCACTCAATAAAAACTCGGCGCAAGACGACCTCGGGTCCAAGTACAAAAATAAATACTATCGTATTCCAGTGGCTCTCCTCTTCTCCGTCTAGACCACCACCAACATACAGATGAACCCGCGGCCCCTCAGCATCGCACTGATGCGAAAAAACGAACACACCACTCCAAAAAACCACACCTGACCTTCGAAACCCTGGGCGACGAGAAAGCTAAGCCTGGGATCAACACCGAATGCTGCGCGGACTAGCTCCACGGCTGCGTCTCGGTGCCGTGCACCACGGATTAGGACTTGCACACACGCGTGCAAGACGGGGGGGGGGGGGGGGGCCAACCGATCACAAGAGCTTATCGAATTGTTCGCAGTTTGTGTTTCGTATGCCGACGTATCGCGAGTTAACTCGGCGTCGAGCTGCTGCCGGGGTTTCGAGATAAAAAGAAAACGAAACTAAAGTGGAAGATGAAGTGCGGATGAAGTCCCGTTCCTGTTCTCGTTCACCTTCCAGTTCCTACTTCCTGTTCCCCTCCGGATTCGATCCACTCTCTCCAGGGTCGTTACCAGCGTGATCGTCGGGTGGGGCCAGGTTCGGCCAGGCCGGGCCGGGCAGGGTCGAAGGGTGCCCGCCGTCCGCGATTTGCATCCCTATACCCGTTCCTGTTCCCGTTCCCCGTTCCTGGTTCCCCGCCCTCTGTCGCGCTCTCTCTACCTGCCAACTTTCAAATTCCAATGGGCAGCAACTGCGAACTGATATGATTGGCAGACAAAGTTTCTGAGAATATGTCCCTCTCAGCCTCCTTTTGCTTTTTCCCTCTTTGCCCTCTTCCCCCTTTTACTTTTTCGCTTTTCGCTTTTCTTCGTCTCTGGAAAGTGAAATAGTTCAATATATTTATAATTATTATAATAATCCAATTTGAGCAATATTTGGATTTTTTATAATTATTATAATTATTGGATTTTTTATGTTTTTCGAGAATTTTTCTCTTTCTTTTTCTTTATTGAAATTAACTTAAAAAATAAAAAAATCGTATAAATATCGTTTATTGGCTTTCTACAAAAAAATATAAACTATATCTAATGTGAGAATTGTTTGTAAGTTCTTGTTAATTATTATTATCATCATCGTCGTCACAACAAATACAGCAACATTAATCCAGGAGGTGTATTATAATAAACCTTCAATGTTGGGGTTCATAAATCTTATGATGTTATATTAAAATTTTATTCTTTTTAGTTATTTTTCTCTGTAAAAGCAACACATTTGAATTTTTGATTTTGTAAAACACAAATCAAAATTCCCACTAAACTAAATGCAACACATTTATTTTATTTTTATCTTTTGGATTTTAAAAACAATGTAGCTTTTCTCTATTTTGAATGATGCATGGAAAGTTACTGTCAATTGAAATAAGCTGGTAGGAAATTCAATGTTGTGTGAGATTCTTTCACAACTACCTCGTTTGATTTGTTTTTGATGTTCACGAAAATCTAACAGAGTTGTTCACATGTTTTCAACATTACACCGCATCAGCTGTGTACATGTACTTCACAAAACATTCAAACAAAACTCTTTTACAGTTCAACCACATCAAATTTCTTTACATGTGCACTGAAATAATAAATTCAAGGAAGTTGGACGAGTAACTAAAATTATGGAGTGTGCAATTGTGGTTTATTAATATCTTAATATGTACATATTTAGAATGGAAAAAATATATATTGTGCATTTTTATACGTCGAGGAAAACGTATTTACGTAAATAAAGCTAAATTCGGTTTTACCCATCTCAAATTTCTGTCCACATGTAAATTAATATGCCACCAGAAACTAGGTTAAATATATGTCTCTGTGTGTGTGTGTGTGGAATTGCATAAAAACCTAGATACTTTTGGAATAAAGATCAAATTAAAAAAATTTAATATTAGGTTTATAAATTGGCCATTCATATCTATTAATATTTTGGGGTTTAATGGCACATGTAATGGGGTTTTGCTTCACTGAACGCTCAAAATTTTGAGCACAAAACGGACAGTTTACCCATACAAACAAAGGAAAACCAAAGTGGAATGAAAACATAAGTAAAGTAAGAAAAACGTGGACAGAGGCCAAAAAACCCTAAAATATAAAGTCAAATAGTTGTGTCGTTGTTCAAGTCTGTGGGAGCGGGGACTTGTTGGGGAACATCGGTCGGGAACAACGTAGGGAACTGACGTTCCCCAAGGCCATCGGACTAGTGCGGCGAGACCCCCGAGGGCAACGAGTCGGCGAAATGCATCGATAAATCGGAGGAGCAGCGTCGAATTCTTCCCAAACCCACCAGCAGCGAGTGCTCGATTGAATATCCACGATTGCAAAGTCGATTTCTGTAGCTTGTTCGTGTCAATGCAACTCAAACAACATAAAAATCGAAGAAGAAGAGCAATCTCTGTGCACATTTGTTGATGTTTTCACAGGTTTCTGGTTCTGGTTGTTGGGCTGGGGCCATCGTCTCGCGCTTGGCAAGACATAGCGGGAAATCTTGTTGACCCACATGGAAGAGCATCATTTTCCTGTCGCTGGATTGTCCATCAACGCGGTCTAATCAAGTCTCCTTCACAGAACTTGCGCGCTGCATTGAAATCTCTCGCCGCAGGAGGTTTCGTCGCGGGGATATCGTGCTCTTTGATGTGTAATCAAACGCTTGCTGCATGATGATTTCTGCTGTTAATTTTATCCTTTACTTGGTGCGGTAGCTCCGTAGTCGTCGGATTGGTCAATTGAGTAGAGTTGGGTTGAGGTTCAATTCGAAGGAACCCCTTCGCAGAATGAGTCGTAAACAAGTGTCATTCGCTTCTGAAGGATAGAAGTAATTTGCAGAGGTGAAGTAAGGGATGCGTGTCTTAGGGGAATGCAGGTCAGGATAGTTCTTACATCATTTAGCCTGCTAACGTTGCGTCAGGGAGAAGGAACAGACATCGAAGATGAATGTGGCAGCACCATTTGACGTGTGGGTCAGAGAACGAAAGTGATTGGTTCTGAGGGGTTCGGAGGGACTGCTGCAGCGGTTACGTGCGATCCAACAATATAGACGACGGGATAGCCCTCGGAGATGAACGTATATTCTGCAGTTCGTGCTTTCTAAATCGGGTGCGCTGAGAAAGCAGCATTATGGAATGATACCCAGAGTGCATGTGATGAAATTGTGCGGTCATCAGGTGACTGCACACGGTGATCGATAAGGAACTTGGGTTCATTCAACCTCTGAATCACTGGCGATGAGGTTGCGTGCAGGTTGCGAAGTATCGGGCACGATTCTATTTCGGAGCATCATTGCAAAGTTCCACTATCGTGAAGATAATTGTGCAGGAGGTGGTTTACGAGAAACGAAGGAGAATGGGAACGGTTGTTTATCCACGAGACGAGACCATCTTGTGGTTGTAAGTCGATTTTAAGTTCTTTCATTTGCAGCGTTTGAGAGAGCTCTAATCGAAGCATTATATTCCAGGACAACTCCCTGGCACCGTTTTGACATGTTCCCGAATGTAGTTAGGGTTCCAAAGGCTGGAGCAACACAGAATTGAGATGAATTCGTTGATTATGCTGAGTTCGTCTTTGAAATATTTCCTCTCTCGATCGATTTTACCCGACTTGTGCAGTCTTCGACTTTCGTATAGCATGGTGCAGCCCCACAAAGAATTACTGTTCTATCCCACATCATGTTGAGTTCACTGGCAGATGTACTCCGATTAGAGGAGCTTTCTGTATTGGAAAACGCAATTCGTTTAGTCCTCGTGGAATTTTTATCGTCTTGCAGCAATACACGTGCAAAACTCAGGAGATGACATCTGTATTCACAGTTCAGAATGCGAACAAGACTACTATTATGCACTCCCCATGAAACACCCAAATCTGAGGCGACTCGATGATGCCATTAAAACCCAGCTTCGCAAATCCTTTGTCTCTTCTATGCTTCGGAGGCAACAGTTGTGGCCTCTTCCCATGAAATACACGTTTCCTGTCCAAGCATTCCGATACTCACGTCAACAAATTGCGCTATATCATACACAACGCCGACTAAAAACTTTTCCCACACCCAGAAGTTAGCAGATCTTTACTTCCAGCTCAGACATGATCTTTACTGGATTGGTTGAAGGGATGTGAAGCACCGAAACAGATCGGGACAACCGGAACATGACAATAATTTCATCACGATCGCACCATAATAATGCACATATACAGCAAGGAAATCAGCATATTCTTACAATCAGTAGGAGATCGAGACCGATTCTAACATTCGGGGTTAGCAACTTGGCATGAGTTGACCTGAACAATCAGACACCGCAGTATTAGTACTGCATGGCAACCATCGGCATATCCACGAGTTACTAGTTAAAAAAGTCTGCACCACAAGGTTGAAGAACCCACACAAAAGCCGATGATCATGCTGGTAGTGCTGATGAGGCAGCGATGCTAGTGGCCTGTTTAGCTTCAGCACCACCACTGGGTTCCGAAGCACGATGCTCTCTAGCAACTTTCTCTCTGTCTGACGGCGGTTCCGTGGAAAAAAAACGCTTGTTCTAAAGAGGGTGCTACTACAGTTGATTGTAGAAACGGCGACACATGATGCAAAAGGCGAGAGAAACCTTGAACATGATAAGGTTCTCACGACAAGTTGCCTACGCATGCTAGATTCTTCTCTGCCTACGATCCTCTAGAGTCTGTGAGAGTATTGTTTGTACCGATGCAGCCTTCGGCATTGCATCAAGACCCTGCAAATTTTAGGGATGCAGCTTCAGGTCCAAAGACAAGAAAGATGTGTATTACTTAGCAGAAATAATACATTCTTCGAAGTTTTGAGTCTACTCACTAACTCGGTGACAAGTAAGAAAAGTTCTGGTTTGCTTGGGATTTGTAAGGATGAAAATGCACATGATTTTAAGAAAATTTTACTATACTCTTGACTAAAAATCTGACAAAAATAAACATTTTGCGTTTTCATCTTTGCCAGTTGTACAAATAAAAACATAAATTTTAAAAACTAAAATTCAACGAGTTTTATAAAAGAAAGGTGTACTACAAACAAGGGCATTCTGGTGAGTCCTACTCGCATTTTTATGGTTTTATTTATCCATCTAATAAATTTCCAAAAAGCTGTTGAATTTCATATTATTCTGTTTGCGCATACACACACGTAGAAATAAATAAACAGATAATCATACATGTATATGTGTACATATACATATACAGATACAGAAATATGTACTGTTATAAATAAGAACCGCTAATCTGTGATCAGCATCTGCTATGTCGACATGAATTTTACCGGCAATTGCTCTCTCACCAGCGGTTTAGATTGAATCCAACCTGGATTGTGTTTCGGCAGTTGTTAGGTTCATGGTTATCCAGTTCACAGCAACCACTGATGGATTCGTTGAGAGACAACGATGTCGTGCTACACACTTTCCCGCAAGCATCCAGATGCCGGTGACTACACTCAATCTAATCGTGAAAGTCAGGATTGTAAAGTGCCGAAAAAATTGTAGGTAATCAGTTAGTTCACTCTGGGAGCGTGTTGATGCAGAGCTTTATTAATCATCGTACGTGGAACATCTTGATCGTCACTCAAGTCCAATCTGCACATCGAGGGTTTCCAACAACGTTTGCTGAACAGACGTCTGTACGTTGAGTGTGGCTCGAGGTTGCACCAAATATGCCAAGATGAGACGGTAGTCACTTCCTTCCACCCACTGCAACCAATCTCTACAGGTCAATGAAAGGAACATATAGCCAACAGTCGTACTGAATTCGCGCGCTCGAGGAATTTGTAGGCACTGCTTAAGGGCTGACTTATAGCTGTTTAACATCATCTGAGAAGCATTGGAGTATTCATTTCGATATTCAGGTCTAATTTCTTCGGGAATACGTCGGTTGAGGCCGTCTTACAGAAGCGTGACTGTTAGAGAAAAATGTAAAATGCATATCGGTATTGTGCGTATAGCTTGTAAATCGACACAGTCGTGTAGCCGCATAGAGACTGACATCTGCTGAAGAGGTACTAAAGCACATAATCCATCGATATACTGATAGATTGTTTTACCAGCAAGTTTAAGCAGTGTCGTTCAAGCGGCGTGATACACTTCTTGAATGTGGAACGAACAGTCAGACATTATCCTGACATCAATTATCAAAGAATTTCTAACGCGAGGAAAAGGAGCAGGCAAAAGCAAAGTCATCACGGATACATAGGGTGAAGCACAGAATTTGGATATGGACAACGGGGAATGAAAATATGAAAGCATCATTGTGCAAAATTGATAGATAGTTGCGTCCGTATTAAGAATAGACTTTCACAATCTCAAATTCTGGTCTTTCAGACCCATTGGAATGCTCAACTCGTATACGCTGGAACCTAGTAAATACGAACCGGAGTGCCCATGGTTGTCTTTAAGTACAACACTCGGACCTGTTACAAAAATTCAAACGTTAGATAAAATACTGAACTTAGACATTGTATGACCATCACTTAATAATGAAAATACAAGCATCACAAGAACACCTTCAGATATACTGCATTCAAATAGAAAGGAACAAATGTACTTACATTCTGCCAGTTCTTCTTCAACAGGGACACGAGGAAGTTAACACCCATTTGTGTGTTCTGGAAGATTTGCTTTTCCTCCATATCACAGTTACCGATGGCGACTCCCATGCACAACACCTTCTTCAGTTGGAACTTAACCATGGCCTTTAACTCCTGACCCTTGGACTCCAAAGACTCTTGGTGGGACACAAGGGTGGGAAACTTTCCGGCTTTGTTCAAACCAGGTCCCAACAGACGGGGAATCTGCTTAATAACAGACTCGGAAGCCAAGAAAGCATGGTACTTCTTAGCCAGCTTCTTGACGAGCTTCTTATTCTTGTTCATCTTCTTCAAGCTCTCAACATCCATGTATTCCATACCGATTTTGTTTGCCTATTGTCAGATGAACGTTGGTTAAGAAATGAGACATTAATCAAGATAATCTAAAAATGAAACAAATATGAAGGCAAAAATTATTCCAATGTGCGAATATGACCTCCTCGACGTGCTGAGCATCTCCAAGCATGCACACTCTCATCTTAGGACGAGGAATGTGTGGCAGCTTCACAGAGCCGCTGAAACGTTTGTCTTTCTGGGGGTCGTAGTTCTTCAGACCAATCTGAAGCTCTACAGTTTCAGTGAACTTCCGGTTCTTCTCCTTGGCCGCAGTGGTGATCTGCGTAATGGCCTCCCGGAGGACATCGCTCTGGAGCTTACTGCGTCCGAAAAAATCATTCCACGTCCGTCAGCTACAAATTAAACCTAACAACCATTAAACAACTCACCACAGGAACTAAATTTCCAAAGCAGAACTCACGCAGGCATACCTTGCACCAACCAGAACGAAGTAGACGCAGACGAGGCTCGCCCCATTGAACAGATTGAACTGTCAAAAGGACTCACCCCCCGGAGTAAGCACCCCGGTACCCATTTGGGGAGTGCGGCGACATCGCAGCACTCCGCCCGCGGCTGGGTGAACCGCGCGACGAGGAATCCATGTGACCCAGCACTAGAAAGCTCAAGAAAAAGAGGGAGGGTGCTCAGTGCACCCTAAAGGAAGAGAAACGAACCTCATGGCTGGAGTAGAACTAACTGTACCGGGAGAAACACAACGGCGCTGCAGAGCTGTGAAAGAGCTTCAGATATACCCTAGTCGTGGCTTTGTACACAAAGGTCGGGATGAGCCTCATGCCCTAATTGCGGCCCCCTTCGCCGCTCAGACGGCCTTGGGTCAGGGCCACGGAGTTAGGGGTTGTTGCAGGTTGAGCAATCTAATATTAAATGCTCGAAAATAGAAACGTGTATTATTTATTTATTTATTTATTTTGACGAAATAAATAACTGAACACGCAGTGATTTTCTTAGATGTGTGTATATATGTGTATGTATGTGTGTATATATGTATGTATGTATATTACTATTAGTTTTTGTACATATGTCTGCTTTTATGATGGAACTGAGAAAGCGAATCGGAGTTGAGATACTTTTTCACAGAAAATCAATAATTTAATGGATTTTATGTTTATTAAAATATCACCAGGAGCTAACTCATGGTTTATTAAATATATGATGTTTGATTGAGTTGCTACACCTGAACCATGTACGTGCCAAAAATTAATAAAATTATTTGTAATTTCATATAATTTGTAACTTCCACACCAGTGACTTCAAAATTATAAACATAATTTTGATTGTAATATTTCTAAAAACAAGAAATTGGAATATAGTCTTTGAGAGGAAGATCACACTCAGAAGTGAATTATTTTTTCATGTTTTTATGTTTTATTTTTTGCGTCCACAAGAAGATGGGGCAGCATGTCAGCTCCTGTTACTCTATAATACATAGCATTCGAATGTGTTTGTGTAACCAATTGTTGTTTTAGAATGACTCCTAATTGTGCTCATGTTCTCCAACCATTGAACTAAAATGAAAGAATGACTTCGAAGGCATCCAGAGTTCACAGCAATGTGCCTACAAAATTTATCTAAGTATTAAATGGAATGAAAGAGCAACTCCATGGCCAGTGAAGCACAATATTTGGCAGGGACAGTGAGTCTATTTCAAATAACATTTGGAAATCAAAAAGAGTATTTAACAAAAGATTTGTAACCTTCAAACATTCACTAAGGCGATTCACACTTCTTGCCAACCCAACACTACATTACAATCTCGGTAATAATGCCATGATCTTGCAAGTTTGCAGCACCTTCAGGTGGGTGAGCATACTTAAGGGTTGGATTTTCTAAATCCTGTAACAAATTAGCCATAGCTGCGGGTATTTGATGTAGCTAATTTTCACAAAAAATGTGACCCTAAAAGAGATATATGTACAGGAGATGCTAGAGAGTTGGCTCATCGTTTCTTCTTTCCCTGACGTGAGATCCGACTGCTCGACTTGCTGGGTCCAAGATTTACAGGCAATGCGAGGACAGATCCATCTCGAAGTTCACCTCCATTACCACTCGTCTCAAGCAACTTCTGTGCCTCAATAAATAGCATAAAATCCCTGACCTGAAACACAAGCAATTGCATATCCCCAAACTAAGGACATAGATGACACACAGAAGACTGTCGATCTAACAAAGCCAAGCCCTCGTCTACTTCACAGTGCATCTTTTTGGGATAATTGAGAATCCTTTCTGTATCTCAAAGGTCAGCTCATGATCAATGCACAAGAAATTCGTTAAACAATTTGGTTTCAACCGCCACACATGGGAGTCTCGAAACAGATTATCGGACATTATCCTTTGCCTTCTTCTTTTAAGACCATCCATATTCGTTTAACTACTTAGTTGATCAGAGGATTGAAAAGAACAGCAAAAGCTATATTCACTTAAAACTTCAAAGTGCATTTCAAAGCCGCTCTTAAACTCGAGAACGCTGATCTAACATGCATACCAAACACTTTGCAAGAACGACAATATCACTGACCTGTTCTTCAAGATCTGCTATTTTGTCATCTCGTTCTTTCACCGATTTCAACTCCCTGATAAATGTTCAGCTGGTTAATTTGAGGGCTAAAAGTACCAGTAAATAGCAAGATAACAGCCCTAGGGCGATTTGGTTTTAGAAAACTGAGGTTCTTTAACCTATTTGCTAATTTATCCAGCATATCAAACTATATGATTGTTGAAAACCCTTCATGCAAAATTAGAAAACAAACCTCTCCTCAAATTCCTGCATACGCTGCTGATAAATTTTTTGGTTCTCAATCAAGCATTTATTCAACTGCAATTACCATGCACACGCTGAGTCAGAGAACATTTTCACAGACGACGAAGATCAGGTTGTATATCTATGATAGTCTTAGACTTAAGAACTTCAAATCAAAGTAAATATATTTCTAGGTTACTGCTGTCGTTAGTAGCGATTTAGTTTGTGATTGTCCCTGTCACTGACATTCGTCTTCTAATTAAAAGAGAGAAATGTCAGTTCAAGGATGTAAGTAAATGGTACCTCCTTTAGATCCTGGTTCTCTTTTTCCATTTTCTCCAGTCGAACCTGTAATTTCTTAAGCTTTAAGCTTACTGATTCATCAACAGCCTGCTGAACGGCTAAAGCTCTCTCCTCCTCCATTTCTGTGATCCTTCCTTCGTAATACTGAACCAGTGATTCCAGTTCGCACAACAATTTAGTTTGAGACACAACTTTGGTTCCAGAAACACTGCCAATGACCGCTCTTGTTATGTAAATCGAAATGAAATCGAAAGTTAAGTCTCACAATGCAAAAACTGAGATTATGCTCACGAAAAACAAAAACTTCGAACTAAATCCTAAACACTTTTATCATAATTCCATCGCAAGAATCAGGCATCATCAAGTCATTTAAAATAAGTTCCAAAAGCACATTGTTACCTGCCGTTGACTGTCCAATTGAATCGTAAGTAAATGATCATACTCGGCAGCTACCTGGCCATGCTCACAATTAAAAGTTACTACCAACACCATTGCCTAGCGCCTCTCTAGCTCAAACAAGACACGTTACACACCTCTTCACACACCTAAATATTTCTGGTCACCGAAATACTCTAGATAAAGCTATAACTCATTCAATCTAGCTGCAGTGACTAGGTGCCAACAAAAGAAATAGAGACGAATGCTACATTTTATTTGACGAGTGAACTGTGTGCATAGGAGCAACTCATTATTTCCGAAATACCTATACGAGGAATTCAAAGGAAACTTACGGCATCTACTTTACTATGATACAAAGCTGCCTCCATGCTCTGATCGTCAGGTCCTCGGTTGCAGCAATCATCGCTACCATCCCGGCATGGGGCAGGTAATTCAACAAGCTTTCCATCGGTTTTTGACTGTATGAGGCGGTGGACATAGCCGTCACCTACATAGTCCCACACCCGTTGAGTCTCAAGATCCAGCGAGTAGCAGTGCTGACTTTCCTTCCAATGATTCACAGCATGCCCCTCTTTGTATCTGTTTATGAAGACAAAACAACTTGGTCAATATTACAAGCTGCAGCAATGGTACCATCTAATTCAAGTTAGCCTATTAGGTCCAATGATGAACGGACTGTCACAGACGATAGGCATGAATAATAATGGTAAGAAACGGAGGATGCGTACCGTCCACAACCAATAAATCCACAGATAACACATATCCAAAGATGCTCTGTAGTCCCGCACACGAAGCAAGTGGAATTTTCAGCTTGTTGCTGGCAGTATCGACAGACCTGAACAAAAACGACTACATCCACTTCAGCTTCTGATTCTTGTAGTCAAAATACACATCTCACATTACATAATCCCAGTCCAATTATTTATGCCAGCAATAATATGTGCAGCTAAACAACTTACCGGACAAGAGGAATCGGTCCATTTTGAAATACATGTGCTGTGAAAAGAGTGGTTGCACACTGTTGTGAGTATTCCGCTTATTTGCTGATCCAGTCTTTCTGCGTTAATCAAACGAGCGAGATCATGAACACTAGGTGATTGAAGATTACGTCATCCTCATACTCCCAGCAAAACCCCATACCCTTCGAACTATCTCATCCACAGTGGGTAAATCTTGCTAAGTAAGGAACTGTCAAAAAAATACTGCGTTATGAAAACTTCAGCATTACCTAAACAAACAGGACAAGTCGGAAGTTCTGTAAGTCCTGAAGGAGGAGTTGATGCTTGCTCTGCAGTTTCTGTGAATTGAACGTCTGCCGTATATAACACATGGCACAGCTCTGCCTGCAATTTCAAAGACGGCGTCAATTTCTCATAATCTCAATGTCTACCTCATCTATGTCGTAGATTTGAAACAAAAATCAATCAATCAGTATTACTTTTAATTTTTGTTGTACATGCTCATGATGTAACAGATTTTCGTTTTATTTTAGTTTATGTTTTTTAAATGGTCCAACATCTACATATTATTGAGAAATAACAAAGTCACTATTTATTAAAAATTTAAAACGTCAAAATACTGAAAGGTCTATCGAAACTGAATGTGAAAAAATTTCTATTTCCAGTTCAGGTCGCAGGATGTTGCAAAAATCGTAACTGTATATACTCAGAAAGAGTAGGAATCCGAAGGTTAAAGATATGAAAGGGAAGGATAACAAGGAAATACAATCGCCTTCTTCCGAAGTAGCAAACGAAACTTGAACCAAAGCCTCACCTCCAGAGAAGAAAATGGTTTCAAGTTGTAGTGCTGATAGAAGTCGTCAGCAAGTTGCAGGGAATCAAACGTCATTAACACACTGTACCTATCTGTCTGCCCATCATTCCTGCAAGATGATGGTGAGCACAACAAGAAATTAACCAAGAACACATGTACTTAATACATGGACTTGGGGGTACAAGAAACTCGTACATCTCCAGCTTTTTCAGTACAAAAGTTCCTATACGAAGATATATCTTTACACTATATTTTGGAGCTATGAACCAAAAAAATAAAACTCCACTTCATAGGAAAGCTTCGAATTCCATGACATAAGTACCAAAAAATAAAAGATTCGTTTCAAAGAGTGTTTTGATTTGGTCTAGAACCTAACAAATCGCATTTCTTTGATGTTCTCAATAAAAGCTCCTGTGAACTGACAAAAGTCGGCGCCGGTCATATGATTCGGAACAGCCAGCACACATAAACGCTCACTCCGACCCTCCTGCAAATTAGAACCGTCACAAGTTTTAACATACAGGTTTAGAACTATTCTAGAACATCGAAAGAATACTAGCTAGCTAGAACCCCTGTGTATACTTTCAACGAGTAACAACAACGATAACAATAGAAACCTACTTCTCACAGGATTGATCCAAATAAAATTGATCTCCTTCTAATATGTTGATGAAAACATGGGTTACAAACACGGACCGGAAGCTTCTCTAATGAACCTGGCTCGGATGCAGTGTCCCTGTACAAATGCATGACACCACGTGTAGCTTCAACTCGTGGGTTTCCAGAAGAGAAATTGATCCTTTTGGTGATGCCATCATCGTGCAGCTTTGCCTCGCCTCCGGTTCCTTCGTCAGTTCCTCCACCATTTGTACCCGAAGCTGAGGTTGCAGGCTGATCGGTGGAACCATCCTCCGCCGTAACATTCGAGCTCAGCATTGCATCTAGCGCTTCTTTGGAAGGATGCTCAAGTGCATGAACCTTCAAACTAAACATTGGTCGTCTTTGTCTTCCGCTTGCTTATCTCCAATGATTCTGCCAGAAAGAATTCAAGTGATGAGACTATTGGAATCAACCTATCTTTTGTGATAAGAGCTACGGCGGTTTGCATTTGAAGATGTGCTTGTCTCTGATCCTACTTACAAAGTTCTTATTATCATGCTGTTCTTCGTTAGAATAAATATACACATAAATGATGATATCAAGCATGCCATCCGCCAGCGCCTTCTCAGAAATTTAGCACTAATTAGTCTATGATATGCTATATGCAGTAGTGGTTCAGGTAAACTACAAATCTTTCCTAATCCAAAAGTCTCAAACCCTCCACAATTTCTTACAACCAGAGCTCAGTTTCTCTTGAGCTGCGCAAAATTGCAAGTTCTACTTCAAATTCTCCCTTTTCTCCAACGACTAACATCGAAAGAATTACATAGAAGAGTTCTTTGTCAGAATATACGAACAGAAACACCCCGAGTTCGAAGACAAAAGATTCGGAAATCAATCACAACTACGAACCTATCAGAAGTTTATTCCATCCTCGGGAACGAAAAAATTTCAATACCAAAGGACAACTCCAATCTCGAAGAAGACAAAACTACCAACACGATTCCCATTCAAAATGGATACATATTCCACAATCCTGCGGAAACGATAACTTAAATCTTGCGATTCCACTCCAACACCAGGATGCTTGCAGTTGCGTAGCGACTCTTACCAAGCAACGAAATTCCTTAAATTACAACCAGGGCCGCTTCAACTCTCGCAATTCTCTGCAGAAACTTCCGCAGCTTGAATACAAAGCTCCTTGGAGCTGCAATTGCTCCCCCAATCTTGCAACAAAATTCCCCCAACTCGCACGGATCGGTTCACAATGTTGATTTAGGCGCAATTCGAATTAGGGTTTGCGTGGTGAAGGTTCGATGAGCGCTTCCTCACTCGGAAGCATCCTATGGATGAGACACATCCTCGTCACCGCAATCATCCTTCGCCATCATCCGACGGAGCAATGAGCTATCATTCATCCAAACTTCGGAACCAGCAAATTACACCATTCACACCTATGCCTTGGATGCCTTATTTTCTAAGAAAGGAAATATGGATAAGAAAAAGTAAGTGAGAAAGTCAAGAGTCATAAAGACAAAGTGTGGTGCCACATGTATGATCGAGGAAATGACTGAGTTACTTTATAAGTTAGAAAGGAAATTTGTTTCTATAAGCATGAAAGTCCAACATCACTACTCGCCCCTGTTTGGTTTGATTTGCAAAACCTTGCCAAAACTGAGAAGGCGCTCCTCAGTGGCGTTTGTGGGGTTTGCAACTACATCTTCTTGTCGTTCGGGTCCACCGAGAATAGGCGGAAGCGAGAGCTGGGGCACGCTGAGGCTACCGCCGGAGCTTTCTCCTTCCCCGCGTAGTTGTTTCCCCTTCTCCGGACCTTTGAAACCGTCCGTGATGTGGCCTGAGATATATCCCCATGGATCGCTGACCTTAGTCCTCACCCTCTTGGCTACTTTGACAACTATGTACCTCCATACGAATGACGACACAAACATTATGCCTAACAGCACATGAGTGTAGCGGTTTTGCGAGACGATTTTTTTGACCATGTCTTTCGACGACGTTGTGACTTCGGAGTCGCTAGATGAGGAACTATCCAACGTTGAGGAGTCTCGGTGAGGGCCATTCCCATTGCTCTTTGAATGAGAATTAGGGGATTTGAAGTACGAGGGGCTTAGGGATTGGAGTACTTTGTTCATAGCATCGGAGTTCTGGTTGACCAATATGGCAGCAGTACGAGCAGCTTCAGCTGCTGCTTTTGCAGCTTGTGTCGCACCTTCTACCGCCTTCTTCAAGTCGTCTTTGCGTAATCTCCTCTCTCTACCAGTATTCCGGTTGGTGGCATCCCGGACGCTCCTGCCGCTGCGTGACAATGCTCTTCCGGTTCTGCTATTCTGCCTTGGTTTGGACTTCTGGTCCCTCAAAATTTGAACCTACGACAAAGATCAGAATTCATCAAATGCAGAAATTCGGAGATTTATTACTTAGGGAATACTGCAGAGATTCAGTTTGGTTCTTTTTGCAAACACGAAGCCACCGAAGAATTTGAATATGCTCACTTGATCAAGCAACTTAGCTAAGAGCTGAAGTTCTACATCTCCAGCTGCCTCTTGGGGCCCTCCACTTCGTTCTAAGTGCTCATCCAACTCTGAAGCATCTTTCAGCTTTGTAGCATCTTCGTGATAATGCTTTGAAGACAGACGCACATCTTTTCGGAGCATGCGGAGAATTGCATTTTCAACGAGATCAAGGTCCTCAGTAACACAATCCCGAAAAAGTCTTGTGCTGCTTTCTTCTGCATGTGGATCTGATTCTACACACATTTCTGAATCTGCAGATCCAGGCGCAGACCCGAACTGATTTGCTGCGTCACTAATGCTGGTGCTATCACTTTTTTCTAGTGCTGCGTGCGCAGAATCTTTAATTTCTTCTCTTAAGTAGAATGCAGAGGGCAAAGAAATCCTATATTCAGTTAATTTTCCATCCTTGTCATTCGCAAGAGCTGAAGCGCTGAATAGATCTGCAGCATCTCTCTTCTTGAAATTTCTTTGTTCGCTCGGCAGGTCCTTCAAGAAACTCTGTAGGATTTCATGTTTCAGATTCCAACTCAAAGAAAATGCACGACCATTTCAATGCCAAAGAAACCAGTCATGACTTGTAACGGAGATAATGCTCTGCTATTCTGCGCTCTTTGACACTTCTGAAATAATCAATTCGAATCCAAATGAATGAGCGGACACAAGCGGAGTATGTAAACTCCGCTTGTTGCGAAACTTTGCTGTTCCAGGGTTCAAAAGCGACATCATCATATCTTGAAACGTTACAGTGTGACAAAAAAAATTCTTAACAAAATAGGAATCCGGTGTTCAGCGAGATATCCATTCTGACCTCAGCGTCGAAACTCCCACTTATTTCCTTTTTTATGGCCTTCGCCTCACTGTAATCATCAACAACAATGCATTAATATGATCCAACACAGATTCATGTGCGCGTTATGGAAATTGTGATTGTCCAAATGTTCCAAACTTGGGCCACTGATAATAGTTAGAAAGAACCTATGCAACACTCTCTGGAATGTACCAGCTGATTTCTTAAGACCATCGATTCCTGTAACTGCCAAACCTAACGAGATCGGAAAATGACATCTACAGATTTTGGTGAACATTAAAACCACCTGCAAATAACTGCGGCAAACAAATTTTTCTACCTGAGAAACACACCGAAAGAAGCATACACAAAATAGGAGTGTATATTTTGGCCGTAAAATTGATCGCTAAAGCCAAACCAGACTGCGCATTTAGATGTACGCACTACTATTGTCGGCCAGATTCGGCGACCAATAAATAAGTGATCACAACGTATTCCAAAGCACTCGACTTCCAACTGCCCATGGTTCACAGCCGAATTTCTAGAATGATATCCACTTGAGACGCGTCAATGCATCAAAAAGGCATTTCAACTCGTCTATGATAGCCACAGACAGAAGCAAAGAAACGCATCAGACAACCAAGAAGCTGAAATAGCGGGGGCAAATTTAAGAATGCGAACGCACCGGGGATTCGGCCAACTTTGAAGCGCCGTCCCCATAGCCAGTGCCTCTCTGTCAGACATGGGTTATTGACCGAACACAAAAAACGAAACTCCAGTCTATCGTCCTTGGTCGCCGCAACTCCAACCACAGCAGCTCCTCACAGACGCCCTCGTCATTACCTCTATCAAATTCCAACGCTCGTCATGAGGATGATGAAGCTTTCACCCCCCAGGACCCTTAATTTATCTAAAAATCAATCAATATCCGATACAAACTCCCCGTCGCCAAAACTAAATCCCACTCAACGCCACTAACGCACGCGGCCAGCTCTCTCTCCTCGTCGACTACCCCTTTTGTACACCATGCAACCATCATCATTCTCTTCTCTACGACCAACACTACTTCCCTCGTTAGAGACCTGACATCGCCACGCCGGAACAGGACTTCTCAGCTGCACGTCACAACAATTGCCTATAAATATGAGCAAGAATTCATAAATGCAACCAAAAGGGGGAAAAAATTACAAAGGACCAGATTAAAGAACAACAATCGACGCAGCACATGAAGAGAACTTTTATTCAAGTTATTTAGTCTTCGATCAAACTCTTTTCCCCATGCAGCTTTCACACTTCCCCGCAAGCTTTGTGCACAACTTTTGCGGCGTGTTGAGCTGCTGGCAACATTGTCGCAATTCCTGTCTACCAGCTGGAGCTCTCCTCCATGCATGACTTCGATACCGGTGTCAGTGTACAAGATTCCGAACTGGAGGAAGCTCAACAGGTGGCCCTAAGAGGTTGGAGGGGTTCTGTGTGAAAACTTGGATGAAAATATGCCGTGGCAGTCGCAATGTGGCGTACAGAGCGTGCTGAAGAAGAAAGGGTCAGAATCTACAGGCGGTGTGATTGAGCCTAGATGAAATTGGCTCCGCTTTCTACGTGTCTGTATCGTGGCAGTTCTTGTCGTCGGTTGTGAAACCCGTGGAGATTCGTCTTGTGCACCACCTCTCACATCTAGAAATCAACTTTCTGATATTAATTTGCATGAGAATAAGAATTGAATTTTAATGGTTACGTCGCAGACACTGGAAAAACTCCAACAACCACGGTGCCACTCTTCAAGCTTGAAATCAATCGTTGAATTAAATGCCTATCTTATTTTTCACTTACTCAATCTCACTGCACCTGAAATCAATGCTATTTCTTGTTGCAAGTTTGCGATTTGGATCAGAACATATGTTTTCTTAGTAAACGCCAATTACAGGAAATCGATCAATCAAACCAACTTCTAAATCTGCATCTAAAAAATTTCAACAATAACAATCGGAGAATCCACAAAGATCTCGGACTTACAATGGATTCGGATGTCAGCTTCAGGCTCGAGGCATTTCAATACCGCCTTCTTTTAGACCCTGTGAACCAACTGCATCAGCGATGTGTCAACGAATACAGAGCTAGAGAATACAAACTGAATCACCACTCGTGAGTACCGCACAAACATTATCAAGCTTCAACATCGAGCTAGCCAGAAGAAACTATGGTTCTCATGTAACGGAGCTGCACAAGCCGGTGCTGCGCCACACAGCGACACAATAACAGTATGTGTTCCCGTTTTAAAGTTACATGCAATTCCGAGCACCGAGACTCCTTCCAGCCATGGCAATCCGTTTAGCAAATGTGCCAATAAATATTCCTCCCCCTTCAAAGTTACAAACGAAGATCGTTAAGTAAACCTCAAATGCAACTTTAGGGAATTCCGAAAGCGTTTCGCAGACCGACATCTTTGCGGAGCAAGGAGAAACGGGAACCGCTGGTTAAGAATTAACCTTCTCGGGATCGAAAGACAACCTTCATGATTAACTTTTATCTGTTCTTTCAGAGTTACGGAGCGAGCAGCACGTCAAGTCGAGAATAAGTCCACAGATCATGCGGCAATGCTGCTCCGTAGTGCTTAAAAATCGCATGGTGACTGAAACCCCCTTGCAATCCCCGAACTGGATTTTATAACCACCGAACTGAAAGATTCTCACCGAAAGGAACGCAAATAACCGACTATACAACTTAAATAAAGAAAGCACATTATCTTCGGATCGAAGGATGGATGGACACGATTGGAATGATGAAAATTTATTTATTTTTATATATATATATATATATATATATGTGTGTGTGTGTGTATTTATGTTACATTTTTTGAAGTTTAATTTGAACGATTCTCTATTCTAATCATCTTACTTGATTTTTCTCGATAAAACTGTATAATTTTCTTTGTATTGTTATAATTTTAAAATAAATATTACACATTGTTAGTAATCTTTACAAAATGTAAATCTGATAAAGCAATTTTAGTATTATTGGATTTATTCTATTGATATTTTTTAAAGTTTAATATTATAAAAAATCATGTCTTGTACATTTTTCTAACTTATTTCTACTTGCAATGTGACTTGTGTAAGAATTATTTAAATATTTTTTATGTTTAAATTATTTAAATGTTTATTGAGAATATATAATTATCATGATAAGAAGTAATTATGATAAATACTAAATATGTATTTTTTATAATTTTAAATCTATATCATTTTAAAATAATTAAATATATAATAAATAACTTTGATTAAAAAAAGTAATAATTCCAATGCCAATTGAAGATTAATCAAGTTTATTACAAAACTTTATCTTTAATTTGAACAGTACTAATTATGTTTTATATTTTTATTAATAAAATATATTTGAAAAAATATAAGATATTAATAATACTTATTGTAATCATATAAATTATTTGAATAACTATAGTTTATTTTTAATACTAAAAAATATGTACAACTAACTATTTTAAAATTTTAAAAAATAAAATAAAAGCTTTTTTCATATATCTTGGATCTATTCGTAAGTATAGATGTGTTGTGTAGATATTAAAACTTCTATTAAAATAATCATTGGATCTAACAATTTATATATTTTTGTTACAATTTATTTTGTCTATAGTAAGCTTTTATTTTATTTTATTTTATTTTATTTTTATTTTTTAAAATTCTAAATGCATATATACAAATTAAACTATGGTCTTTTTGAATCTTTCGAATGTATTTCTTATGGTCTAGTTTTATTATAAGAGTCTTTAATTAGTGTACATAAAATATATATATATATATATATATATATATATATATATATATATATAGATTTTTATATAGATAAAAAATTATAACTAAGATTTCAATTTTTTCTTAGCCTTTGTGTCACGAACATACATATTTATTCTAACATTTACGTATATGATTGAGTAGAAGTAGGTAAAAGTAGATTTATTTCATAATATTTTTTTACAAAAGTTTCTTAGAAGCTTCATAGATGTGGCTTTGACTTTATATGTATTTATAGTTGATTGATAGGTTAGAAACTTGGTCAACAAGTTAACCATGTGTTGGTAGCTTACAAAACTAAGTAACTATATGGTGTACATATAGAAAACTTACATTGTAAGTTAAGATATATGTCTTATAAAATCAATATGTTTTGGAAGGTCCTATTGAACATTGCTATGTAACTCCTAATTAAGAGTATATATGGAGGCAAGAGTGAAGTCTTCTTCACTCTTATCAACACCTTTTTAGTCTTTAGTCTTGTTTTAAGTCTTTCTAGTCTTCTTGTCTTTGGTAATAGCTATTCTAATTTAATACCATATCATTTTTTAGTGACTTTTTACTTCTTTTTAGTAACACAAGAGTGTCTTGAGGATTTCTTTTTTTGAGATTCATGTTCTTGACAGTTTGAGAAGAGTGCTAACTCATTGTTTTTTCTTTTTTTAGAAGTGAGTGGATTACCCCTCTTTGTGGAAATTTTCATTTGATAGTAGAGGTTGCAGATTACTAACATCTAATTTAACTTTTTGAATTTGTTTAAGTTGTCTATAGAAGGAAAGATTATGGATGCTACTCTTAGCAAAAGTGAGAATAGATTTGCAACTATTGCAGATCTTCATGAACTTCTTAATACTCTAAGAGTAAAAATTTCATATATTTTCAACATGAATTAGGAAGGTACTATTTCTATGCCTATAGAAGAAGTTCAAAATTTATATCAAGAAATTGTGCAATTCAAGGAAGCAAATAGATTGACCTCTTAACCAAATCTAAGAATTTTTGCTTCTCCAAGTATGACATGAATAAGGATTAGTATGCCTAAGAAGTTTGATGGATCAAGATTAAACTTTTGAAGATTTTTGCAACAAGACAAGCTCTTTCTAAGACTCTATCTGTCTCAATACCATGATGGATTAATTCAAGTCAGACTCATAAGTGTACTTCTATCAAGAAGTGCTCTCTCTTGATTTGTACCTTTAATGGAAATAGATTTGCAACTTCTTCATGATTTGAATTCATTCCTAGAAGTATTTATATCTAGATTCGGAGAAAATAATCAAGAAAAAATAGCAAAGATCAAGATCTTATTTTTACGGCAAAGATCATGATCAGCTACTATATGTGTTGCTGAATTTTGAAACCTTGCTTGCGACATAAATTAGAATGCCAAGCCCTTTTCAATCAATTTCAATATGAGTTGAAGAAAAATATCAAAGATTGATCAACATAGTACTAAGAAAAAATGCAAATACAAAATGAAAAGCATGGTTTCTATAGAAGATGATGTGTCAGAAAATAAGTTTTTCAAGCTACAACAAGGACTGTGTGGCTAAAATCATGTATAACTCCTAGTAAAGGTTCTATTCTCTCTTTAGACCCTTCACTTTGTTTTACAATAGAAGTTTATTTAGGATAAAAAAAATCACAAAGTCTTAGCTTTATTAGATTTAGGAGCCTCAACTTGTTTTATAGACAAAGATTTTGTCAAAAAATAAGAGATATCATTACTCAAAAGAACTAAACTTATATATATATAAGTCATAGATGGTCATTTGCTATCTTTTAGAGATGTTGTGTATGGGATTGTTCCCTTAGATGTAACAATTAAAGATCATAATAACATAGTAATATTTAATGTAATAAGATCTTCATCCAATCTAGTTATTTTAGGATTATCTTTGTTAAAAAAAATATAATCTATAAATAAATTAGATTACTTATAATTTTAATTTTTTTAGTAATTTAATTCAAAATCTTATTAGTTAAGTAGAAATATATAAATTTAGTATCTCTTAATTCTATTTTATTGATAAATTTCAACGAAGTCCTAATTTAATTCTAGTTAAAATCCTAATGGACTTCAATCAAATCCTAAGCCGAATTCCAAATCCTAAATCCTTAATCAAACTCTAAATCTTAGCCCAATTCTAAACCCTAACTAAAATCTAACAAAATCCTAAATTCCAATCTAATTCTAATCTTAAACCAAATCCTAATCAAATCCTAATCAACTTAATTTAATCCTAGCCCAGCTTAAAACCTTAATATCTATCAAGTAAAGTGTTGATCTTAATTAAAATTATACCCACTTCTCAACAACTAAATTTGCAACAAGCACACAAAAATAGATAAGAATCAAGCTTACCAAATAGAAGAAAAATATCAAAATTTACTTTAGTATTAGCTTGCTTTCTTCTTCAATCTTGATGCTTGTCTTCTAGTGCTAATATCTCATTTTTATACCATTCAATTATTCTTAATATTCACATATAAGTAGCAAATCAATTCTATTATCTTTTTACATAAATTTCACTTTAATCCAATTAGCAGATTGCTGAAGATCTTAGAAATTCTAATTGCCTCATAAAGTCCAATTTTTGAGACCTCAATCTACTTGAAATTCAATAAACTTCGATTCAACTATTTGATCAAGCTCAAACTTACAATGTACACTTCAAACAACTATTCTCATAAGTTCTCAAAATTTGAACTATAGATCTACTACCAAACTTATGAAATTTTCTAAAACATATTACTTTTTTATTTCATAAATTCCAAAGTCATCCAAATCAACTGTGATTTTGCAAAGCTCTTTCAAAGTTATTATATATTCAAATCACTCAAAATCAATGTTCAAAGAAATCTTATTAAGTCTACTATCAAATCTTACTTTCAAATCTGCAAAAGTACTCAAAAGTCACTATAGGTGCACGGTTTTATTCCTTGAGGTCTGATTTCAACCCAAGTTGACAACCGATCGTCTTTGGGTATCAATTCTTGGCTTCTTCAAATAAATTTTGTTAAAATGTACTCTTAATTCCTTCTAACACATGCTTATATTATTTTATCTCTTAATCTACTTTGTTTTGCCTTATTTATGGTTCTACAAAATAAATAGAAGCTTATTTTGTAAAAAGGCAATAATAATATTTTTTAGTTTTACAATCTTTTTTACTATTACCTATTTTTTAAGATATTTTCTATAATATTTTTAAATAAGATCTTTTATAATATAATATTTTCTTCTCTCTTTTATTCATTAGCTATGTTATATCATGACACTACAAAAGAAAGGTCATCTTTTGCTGTATATACCACACCCATTTTTGATGGTGGAAAGACATCAAGTAATATTCTTAGATAGTATCAAGATATCCATGACATTTTTTAAAAGAAAAATATAGATATTCTTCCAAAGCATTGTCCTTATGATTGTTCTATTGATCTTTAAGGAGGAGCTCAACCACCATTTGGACCAATCTATAACCTATTACAAAATGAGTTCACTGTACTCTAAGAATACATTGATGAAAACTTGGCTAAGAATTTTATATACCATTCTTAATTTCCAACTCGAGTTCTTATCTTATTTGTGAAGAAAAAAGATAGATCTCTGCGGATGTATATAAACTATCAAGGACTCAAGAAGGTCACTATCAAGAATAGATATCCTCTATCTTTGATCAATTCAATCAAGCAAAGATCTATACAAAAATAGATCTATGAAAAACATATAATTTGGTATGTATTAAAAAAAGAGATGAATAAAAATTATGTTTCAAATTAGATATAAATATTTTGAATATAATGTCATGCTTTTAGGATTCATTAATATAC